GCTAAGACACCGGCCCTCCAGGACCGATTTTGTGCACCCCTGACCTACTCATTCAATAAGTAATAGTATCTAAACATAAGTAATGAATAAGCACAAGTAAGTCTATCTAATAAATAAGATCCTGCATGTGATTTTTAAAAAAAAGATAGTGATAACCTAAAGAATAAGCAGCTACTAGTACATTTTAGCATAGATGTTATAAGCTTAAGGGCAAAACAATATATGTATATATATATATATATATATATATATATATATATATATATATATATATATATAGTGAACAAACAATAATAAATCATTAACTGTTTCAAACTAAAATAAATCTTTATTAGAAAATTATGCAAAGCGCACATAGGATAAATGTGCATCACTGATGTGACCCATTTGTTAAATGAGCTTTTGTAATTACTCAAAATCTGTACTAACAAAAGTAATGCTCATAAATATTGTCGATGCAACTTCCTCTGGCAGAAAATGCACAGGGCTGAGCAAAATCCTGACAACAACAGATTATATCCATTTGGAAAAAACCTCCAGCTTGGACCTTTTTAAATATTTTATTTATCACTGAGAAAAGTACGCCCACAGCATCACATTGATTTACTTATATCAAAGTGGATTTGCAGTCGGAACTGTAGGGCTGGTGAATTTTAAATCAGAGCGATATATCTAAACGTGCATGTTTCATCAATCTTGGTAGATCAGATTCTTTTGTTTTAGCTCTGTGTTTAAGATTAATTGAAGGAATTAATAAAATCTTTAGATCTAACATTTCGTAATAGGTGATTTTTTTCGGCATGAACAGTTGCATGTTAGTGAACAAACAATAATGAATCATTAAATGTTTCAAACTAAAATAATTTACTATTGATGTTAAAAGCTTTTAAGTTAACCTACTGTATGAATACAAAACAATTTTAAAACAACATAAACATTAGATTACTCTTCTTTGAATATATATAGATATATGAAGAAGAGTTGATATCACATGAGTAGCAGTGCAATGTGGCTGTATATTGGCACTGGTGGGAGGTGTGCGTTGGCGCGAGGCCACAGGCAGAGTGCCTTTGATAATATAGAGCTATATATATTGCACTGCTATGAGTATAATATTGTGTTTATACAAGAGTTTGACAGCATAATCATGTATATAAAAAAGAAAATCAAACACGGAGTCAAAAAATTCTGTTTTATGATGAACTCATTCAAATCTGCAGCTGACTTCGGAACAGGAGGCAGGCACGATGATATTATGCAGCCCCTGAAAATAGTCCTCAGCACCAAGCCCTACAATTACCAGCTAGATTTAGCATAATATTTCTGAGCCTCATTCAACCATGGTACCATGCAGCAAACTTCCTTGATCATTATAAATGAAATTGAATAAAATAATAGTTTTTTTTTTGTGTAAAGTGTTCATTTAAATTTATCCAAATTTATAAACATTGTTACGTGTAACTTTATAAAATTCTAGGGTAAAAAGGCCCAGTTCGGGTTTTACAGGACAAAAACTAATATCAAATGAGAAACCATGCAGTAAAAAAGCAAAAACCACCAGGCAAAATTAGTTTAATGATTTTGTATTAAAAAAAACCCATTATGAGTTGAAAAGTAACAATACTGGAATATGCTCATTTTTTGCAAGTAAAACAGGATGTAAGGCCTTGCAGTGTAATTTCATAAAGGAAAAAAAATTATAAAGGTGAAGCTCCACAGACCCCTGGAGCTTTTACCATTCTTACTTTTGTCAATGCACTTGAGAAAATACTGCGCTCTGGTGGATAAAGGTTATTAGTGCACTGTTGTTAAAAAGGTCAATGAAAATTCATTGAACTACATCCTTTTTTGTCCCATTTCATTGGACAAAGCTTTTAAGGCATGTTCCAGAGCAAAAAAATAAAAATAAAAAATGGAGAAAAATGTTTCATAAAAGCTTTTAGCGTGCATTTAGGGCAGTTTATTCAAAGCCTCTAATGCTGTAAAGGGTTAACAATAAACCCAATATACGAATCATTTAATGGATTCTAGTAGAGTTTAGCCATAGATATTTCCTGTATTGAGTGTGGAGTAATAGCCAGGTGGGCGACAGGATTGCTTACTGAAATTGAATCTACTATACTTAAAGCGTCTGAAAGACTTGCAGTGAAAGATCCTCTAATGCATTACTGAAACTTTTCACGGAGCTAAATTAGCTCAGAGTCTGAATAGGCACATTATGAAATGGGGATATCATTCTTTAATGAGGCAAGCAGGAAGAGATTTTAGTACAGGGGTGACCAACCCTGTTCCTGGAGAACTTTCTGCAGATTTCAGTTGCAACCTATATCAAACACACCTGCCTGTAATTAGCAAGAGCCGTTCAGGTGCTAATTAATTGGTTCAGGTGTGTTTAATCAGGGTTGGATCTGAACTTTGCAGGTAGGTTGATCTCCAGAAACAGTGTTGAGCACCCCTGAACTAGTACAACAAGACTAAAATGACTAAAGTTGCTAATAAAAAGAATTAATGCACATTATACATTTATATTGGCCTAATATATTGATAAAGGGCAGCTCTACAGATTTATTTATTTCCTTAATTTATTGAATACTTTAAAGTGCCTTTGCTTCTTTCATTTATTTTCTTTCAGCTTAGTTTCTATTTCAGAGGTCGTCACAGCAAAAGAAACCACCTATTAGTTTCAACTTCTAGCATATATATTATACGGCTGATGCTATTCTAGCTTAAACCCACTTGGAATCACCCATACGCACTCACTCACACACACTCAAACACTACTGCAAATTTAGTTTAAGTTCACCTATACTGCATGTATTTGGACTGTGGATAAAAATGTACCAGCCCAAGGAAACCCACACAAACACATGAAGAACATGCAAACTATACACAGAAATGCCAACTGGCCAAGCCAGGACTCAAACCAGCAAGCTTCTTGCTGTGACAGAACAGTACAAACCAGTGTCTTTATTTAACATTTTTTTCAACTACAGAGTAATATTAATCAACTACATGCACTTGCTGTTTGGTTAGGGTGTAAGTTTAGCTGCATTGAATTATGTATTATTTTAAATTACTATAGAAAGTACATGGAAAATGTTTTACACTCACATCTTAAAATTGTGTTAAAGAATATATTTTTTAACGTTATGTATATTGAAAAACTTTTTTTTTTTTTTACTTGGAGTTTGCCTTTTTGTAATACAAAAAAAAAAAAAGTCTTTAAATCTACAGTGGGTTAAATTTATTTTATCTGAACAAGACAATTATTTACTTGAAAAAAAACGCAAAATAAATCGAAAACCAAAACCCAGTATACAAGGGGATTAAAAAAAAGCAATACCACAACTTTGAAAATTTATAAAAGAAAACCTAGAACCTTGGGTAATTAATAAACGGTAGAAGTATTTCTTTTTTAGTAGAGCTCATAGATGTTCAATATAGTCCCCTCCAGACACTTGAGTGACATTAACCCGAAAGTTGTGGTATTCTTTTTTTTAGTGACCCTGTATTTAACAATTCATTTTCGTATATAAGTGTCACTAAGGACAAAGGGAACCAGGGACAAGTTCGATACTATTATGCGGACGGCAGATGGTAAACCGTAATAGATATGGATATATATGACGATGATGGCTAGATGATACTGGAATGGACCGGAGAAGATGGGGAACCAGGAACATAGATGGACGAACTCGGGGAAATCGACGACAACCAGTGGAGGGACCAGAAGAAACCTCACTAGGAAGGAGAAACGCACACACCTGAGATCATATGAAACAAGAGAAGCAAATAAACTTAGAAACAAGTGATCGCTACTGACCATGAAGAGAGTGTTGTCCTTCGAGGCTGGAAACCGAGTGTAGTGATGTGCTGGGTTTTATGGGACTGAGGTGATCACTTGGGATGACGTGCAGGTGCGGGGCTAATCAGAACGCAGGTGACTGTGATCTGAGTGATTTGATTGTTAGTTGGGAGAACCTGGCCTGGCTGTTAAGGCAAGTGTCTATTTAAATGCTTTAAATTCCATTCGTTAATATAAAATCAACAAGAAACTATACACTTCTGATGTGTTCATTTATATTTCATGATCATACTGTTATTATATTTCAGTAAAATTTATTAAAACTGGTGGTCTTTTCGTGTGACATCATATGACTCTTGTTACAACATTTTACAAATAAACATTTTAAAAATGTAAAGTGTTATGACACTGTAGATGGCATCTCTAAAAATCATGATCAAAATTTATCATAATTTTCTTAGAACTTGACATGTTGTAATTTATGGGGGAACAATCTAAATCTAAAGCTGTGGTACACTTTGTTATTTTGATGTTTGAAAACTCTTTTCCATGTTTGACCAATGTAAATGTAAAGTAAAATAAAGGATTTCATATGTTATATATATATATATATATATATATATATATATATATATATATATATATATATATATATATATATATATATATATATATATACATATATGTATTAGTTGGCTTTTCCTTTGGCCATTTCTGGTTAAATTATATCAATGTACTTTGATATTACTGTATATGAGGGATCTATAAATACAGATGGTGACATCTGGCACATCTTATTCCACTCAGTGTTGTGCGGACATTAAATGAAATCAATGCCATGTTTTTGTGACTCTTTCCCCCTTTGTGTGTGTTTCTCTCTCTTTAAAACACACACACATCCACACGCACAGCACCTTGAAGTGTCAGCATGTGGCCATTTGTTCGTGACAATGGTATTAAGAAGGTGCGAATGATGTGTAACATTTGTTACATTAAGCAAACAGGGCCACAGAGCTCATTTCCTCTCCTTCCCTCTCTTTCTTCAACATCCAACTCATCACACTATCAACTGTCGTCCTCCATCACAGTGGCTGACAAATGGCGTGTACAATCCAGGCCAAGCTGCAGTCAATATTTACTGAGAGAAGCGTTTTAAAAAGCCTTTCCTCATTTCAAATCAACAAGTGACAAGTGGTGTTATTAAATAAGACATTTGTGGAGATTTATTATTGAAAAAGCAAGTCATTTTATGTAAGAATGTTCATTAAATATGACAGAAACAACATGAATACAATTACAGTCATTTAGAATTATGTACAATCTTATTTACAACAAAAAAACATGGCAGGTCAAGGACAACATCAAATTTAAACGCTGCACAAATTTGGGTAAAATATGGACAATTTCATTTCGTTGGGTTAAAATGTCATTTAAAAATAAGTCCATAAAAACTCAATATTTTTTAGAATTTAGGCTAATATTAAAAAAATGCATTTACTAAGTACCACAGTGATTATTATTATCATTATTATAGATAAATAAATCAATGTCCATGTAGTGAAACTACACAGACAGACAATATTGTGAAAAAAACATCTGTACATTGTATAGTTTGACTTTTTAAAGCGAGTTAAGTTAAAGTCTGACCCTATAAACCAAACTATAATCAGCCTTTGACCCAAAGAAATAATCAACATTTGTTTCACAATTTAGAGCATGATTTTGAAGGCAATTGTTTTTATAATTGTGCTGAATGGAGATCAATAACTACATTCTAAAAGCATTATCAAATTATTATCCAAAATAATTTACAAATGAGCAAGCAGTGTGAGTAAGCGTTGGCCTAGGCATCTCGTTCGCTCTCACAGTACGTGGTAAACTGGTCTGTTGTTTGGACTGTCTGGAGAACTGCACTGGGAATCACTTCCGGTTGGAGAAAGAACGACCATGTTCCTCATTCCCGCAGGATCTACAGAGGACAGTCTGTCCACGATGCTGGACAAACACTGCAAACTGGACACTGCTGGAGTTCGCTCCATTGTGCTAGCTGGACTCATCAAAAACAGGAAATTAGTATTATTATATTGTTCAACTCAGCTCATTTTATTTTCTGTAGTGCTTTGCGCAATGTAAACTGTCAAAGCAACTTTACAGAGAAATTAGGCAATCAAGTAATATACAATTCCTGCTCATATATGTCATGAACTCCACATTTAAAGGGACAGTTCACACAAAAATCAAAACTATTTACTCTCCTACTTGTCTCAAACTTTTAACTTCTTGAATTAGTTTCTTAACGTTTCTTTATTATGTTAAACACAAAAGAAGATATTTTGAAAGAAGCTGGAAACCTGTAACCACTGACTTCCATAGTAGGAAAAACAAATACTATGGAGGTCAATGGTTACAGGTTTCATACATTTTTCAAAATATCTTTTTTAGTATTTAACATAAAAAAGGAACAAGTAAAGAGTGAGTAAATGATGGCAGAATTTTCTTTTTTTTTTTAAATGAATATGATATTCTTACCATTTTGTGCGTCAAAGTTGTAGCTATTCCCATAGTTTTGATTCATCTGAGGCCATACAGGACTGTTGCAGTCAACCTACCATGACAAAACATCAAAAACTCCATCAGCATACGCACATATAAAGCAGTCAACAAGCTGTACACAAAACAGCTCGAGCATCACAGGCAGTGAATGAGCATTCTGTGCGCTTCTCTGTATCTCTTTCTTTCACAGGCCGCTTATTTGCCAGGGACTCCCACGCTATTCTGGGCTTCAGGCAAGGCGAATTGATTGAGTCAGTGGAAGCCACACCAGTTTGTGCAAGATGACACTTTTTTCGGAGTAAATCTGCAGAAAATCCTGGCAGCAGCGCAGCTCATGCAGTCAGTCAGGAATGCAGCACGGACGCCACTTTCCTGCCAGTGTCTGTTTGGCTGGATTTACTGAGGCTTTATTGGGCTATAAAGAGTCCAGAGGGAAAGACATTACTACTATATATCCTCAATTCTTAAACCCTGAGAGTTTTGTCATAAATGTTTTGTGAATCGACATTGTTTATGATATTGTGGCCTTCTTTGCGAGGTGACGGTTGTAAAAGAAGTTTTCGTCTCAATGAACGTTCAGCCATTTACTGTTTCGCTCTCTAATCCTCCAATTATCCTCAAATGACTCTACACAGAATGCTGGGCAAAATATGGAAAAGGCCAATTTCTAAACTAATTTTGTTAAATTATTATTATAGGACGAAATATAACCCAACAAAAGGGTTTGTCTACATTTTACCCAATTTGGGTTTAACAATCCAGCATTTTTTAGAGTCTATAAATGACCATATCTCACAAGCAAAATTGATCTTAATCTATAAAAGACTAAATTACCCTTTATACATCCTGAAGATCAAAATGAGAGAAAATATGCAAGAATTTATGTAAATAAGGAGGGTAAATATGTAAACGCTAGCAGCGCGAACATAGTTCACCCGAGTGTCATTTACAAACTTGTATTGAGAAGCAAACATATGTTAAATGGACATATTACATGTTCATACTGATTGTAGACCCTCATGAAAATTTACCATGGTTTTACTACAAAAACAAACCAACAGTATTGTAGTTATTTAATTATGGTAGTCATTAAATAACCATAGTTTTGCTACATGAACCATAATTTAGCAATGCTATTTGTACACTCACTCAGAAAATTGCTGGGTTGTTTTAAATATGGATAAACCCAAGTGTTAAAATGTCATTTCAATTTAATAAAAAAACAACAACAACCCATCATGTTGCAACTGGAAGGGCATCTGCTGTGTGTAACATATGCTGATTAAGTTGGCGGTTTGTTCCGCTGTGGCAACCCCTGATTAATAAAGAGACTAAGCTGAAAAGAAAATGAGTGAATGAACAACCCATCATTAAGTTATATATTTAGTTAATATTTGACCCAATATTTTTAGAATGATTTAAGGAATGCTTGATTGTTTCAGTTACTCAAATCCATATATATATATATATATATATATATAAAATGTAAAAATTTTAAAAATTTAAAATTTTTAACCCAATGGTTGAATTTGTCCAAACTTGTCTTGCCATATTTTTTATGTAACTGCGGTTACACAAATAGTATTTTTCCTAGCATTGAAACATACTGACATTATCATAGTTTATATCATATTACCTGCCTCTTACAGCAACTTTACAAGTCGCAATATTCCACACATACTGCAAATTTCTTAAATTCCCTGACAAACAGCAGTAAGCTTATATATCTAAGCGTAAAAGAGGAGCCAGATGTAGACAGCAATTTATTGTTGTCATGCTGAGACTGAGGCAGCTCTGACTCCATTTGCAGGATGCAATCCCCCGTGTGCTATTGAGATAAAATATAAAGACCAAACACAGAACAATTGCCTTGTCTAGACACAATGAAGAAGAGAGAAACCTCAAAAATCTGCATTCAAAATGCTTTTATCTGACCTTTGGACAAGTCCCACTGGAATAAGAGTTTATGCAGAGCTTCACTGTAGGTCTATCATGTTTAAACCCCATAGAATAAGAGAAAGAGAGTCATATTTACCATGCTCTCTGAGCAGCTGGAGGAGGGACTGGCGGGCTCAGAGCTGCTCTCCATCGGCAGGCTGTAGTAGTTCTCCACCTGTTCCCTGAGGAGCTCCTGAAGGCTCTCGATGTACTGGATGGCGTTCCTCAGGATCTCTACCTTGGGGAGGCGTTGGCTAGGGTTGGCCGAGGTGCAGCGGCGTAGTGCCTCAAAGGCGTGATTGACCTTCTTCAGCCTGCGCCGTTCCCTCATGGTGGCGGCTCTCCGGCGGTCCACCGTACTGGCTTTACGCTTGCAAGCTTTGCAGGCCCATTGGAGACAATGGCCCGGTTGATGTGGGGCCCCAGGAGCCCGCACGTGCTCATCCTCCTCAGACCCGGTCAGTTCCCCACTGGCTCCAAACTCTAAATCTTCAGGAGACGAAGCGCAAGTGCTGTCGTAGAAGATCTGGGATGTGGAGAATACGTCCATGATTGGTTTGGTGTTGAAGGTTTCTGAGTGGTGTGGTAGCACTGGTGCCATACGGCCCTTCTTATATGTCGGGGCCCACACTGGTCAGCCCTAATGACCGTGCCCCCATTGGCCAGGACAGAGCTAAGAGACCCCCCTCTCTCACCATCCAGATCCCCACCCAAACCCAACACCCCTACTGAGTTTCCCACATCTGTGTGGAGGGGTGGTTTCTCACTCACTTCAGCAGCGTGACGGTCATTACAAGAGGGAATTATCATCAATAAACATTCGCGTGAAGAAACTCAGGCTTCGGATGTCTGTTTTTATGTCTTTCAATTTTTAGATGTAGACTTTGAGCTTTAATATCTTATATTTTGATCTCTACAGGATATTTATTTAAAATATTTTTAAGTGTAAATAAATAAATAATAAAAAAAGAATAAAAATTATTTATATATATATATATATATATGTTAATTAGCAGTTTCCGTATTTTGTATTTCACAAGTGTTTTACATTTATTCACGGTTGTAAAATCCATTATGGGTAGTCGATTTTTGATGTTGATAACTCCACTTTACAGTTCAACAAAGTGACTTTTACCTACATTTTAGAAGTCTGAAATAATTAAATGTATAAGACATAATATATAAAGAAATAAGTCTGTCAATTAACACAAAATGACTACTTATTTCAAGGTTTTTGGTTTTGTATCATGATATACAACGCCAACCCTGCCAATAAATCACTGTAAACAATTAAAAATGTTAACAAAGGTCGCTTTTTTCCATTTTTTTCAAGGTTAAAAGTTGTTTAAAGAAAGATCAAGGTGCCATATTGCAATTGCCAACGTATAAATACTTGGGGAAAAATAAAAACATGAATCACAAAATATGGAAAACTGCTCATTTATGTTTATTTTACATTGTATTGACTACTGGTTATATGTGTACTGGATGTTTTAGAAACAGGTTTGAGTCAAATGTTCATATTTGTTTAATTCTATAAATATCTGATAACATTTCTTTAAAATTTCAATACAATTTTGTAATTTTGAGCAGTTTTGTTTTCCTGAAATTCCCAATGGGTCAAAATAACAAGCGTTTTCCTTTGCTGTCATTGAAAAATTTGAATTTTCCACCAATTGCTGATTTCTTAACTAATCAGAAGTTAAAACATTGGTATTGTGTTGTCTAATAAATAAATGCAAATCTGTCTGAAAACATGACATCTTCTTAGTTATCTTTAAAAAAACAAAAACAAGCTCAAAATGACAATTTTTTTATTTAGAAGAATAAAACTAAATTGACATTTTATTCAAACACATTGATTAATTTTACATCCAGAGAAACTGAGAATAGCTTTATATAAAAATAATGGTAATACTTTATGACAAGATTGCATTTGTTACTGTACACTGTAAACTAATCTGTAACTTTACGGTTTATTTCCGGCAGCTGGGGTGCCAGAAAAAACCCTGTAAAATAATAGCTATTAAATTACAGAAATTTACCGTAAAAAAAAAAAAAAAACGGACATTAAATTACAGAAAATTTCTTTAAATTACAATTTCTGGTAAATTTCTGTAATTCAACCTCTGTTATTTTGCAGTAAATTTCTGTAATGAACATGCAATGAACAAAACATTTATTACTGTATTTATTTACGTTTGTTAAGATTAGGTAATAAAAACAGAGTTGTACGATATCTCCAGTACTGGGTTGCAGCTGGAAGGGCATCCGCTGTGCAAAACATATGCTAATAAGTTGGCTGTTCATTCCACTGTGGCAACCCATGAAGACTAAAAGGACTAAGCCAATAGAAAAAGGAATAAATGAAGTTGTTCAATGCAAGTTGTAGCTAACTCACTGTGCATTAATGTTAAAAAGCATACATTTGGATTTTAATAATCCATTAGTAAATGTTTGTGAATTAAAGAATGCTGTACAAATACTGTTCATGCTAGTAAAAACATTAACGGATATTACGGAAACCTTATTGTAAAGTGTGATCTACAGCATTCAATTGCATGGGGACACTCAAAAGTTGGAGGATGAGTCTGATTTTAGTTTGTCCAGAGCAAATTTGACCCAAACAACTCTAACAAACAAAGTCATTTCTATTACTTCAGAACCAAGTGGTCAAGAAGGACTGCATGTTTAAGAGTTTGCTGGCAAATTTTCCGCTTGAGAAGCGAGCAGCGTTGCAGATGTGGCCCAGCTGTAAGGGCTGGTGTTGTGTTTCAGAGGCACACACTCACATGAATACACAACTCAAGATCTGCACTGTGAATGAAGGTGTCAGAGCAGCGTGGCTGAGCAGTTAAAGCTCATTACACTTCTAAATGGCTCATTAGCAATTATGTGGCAACATCTCTGCTTCCCTTTGTCAGTCAGGCGAAGCTAACTCCTTATCTTCATAATTTATATTAAATATGTTGATACAATATTTATTAGTAAAAGAAATAAAAAACATTGCCATTATATGCCTAATAAGACAAAAATGCATGTTTATATTGAGTTTTAGACAACACAATACCAATGTTTTAACTTTAGAAGACTTAAGACTGCAGTTTTTGCTCAATATTTGGTCGGTATTTGATTTTCGAAAAAAAATCTATTTCTACTGTATTTGTTCATAACAAATACGTTTTATATTGCAAGAGAGAGAGAGATATGTATTTAGTAAAATGGATATGTTTGTTTAAGAATTCTCTAGTGTTGTAGAAAATAGTTAAAAAATAGTTTTAAAAACTATACATTTATTTTCTAAACATAACTGTTATATATATTTAACACCATTGTTTTATGTTTTACATGCAATTATTCTTTATTTAGGGGAAGATTTTTTTGTCCTTTTTATTTATTTATGTTTTAATCATAAATATTTTAATACTGTTATCAGACCTTTGGTTAAAAACATAAAAAATAAAAATAAACATAAAATAGTGTATAATAATAATTTCAAATATCATCTATTAATTAACTGCTATCAAAATTAAGGAAAATTTCACAAATAATAACAAAGAAATGGCAAGTAACAGTCAAATATTCTTTGGTCCATTTAAACAATACAGTTTTATTAAACAGTGATATACTTTAATCACACTATACAGAGTTATTGCAAAAACATAAAATACAAACTACAAATTTTATATTTATATTGTTTGTTTTTCTAGATTTTTTTTCTGTTCATTGTTTCATATTTTTACCAAGCATATTATTTACGGTGTACACGTTTTTGGACAAATTTTGGATCTTTTTTTGTTGTTGTTTTGTTGTTGTTAGATTATTTCCAGTTTTGTCTTTGGTACTGACTAATCCACAACTATATTCATGTAAAGCAACTCCTGTGAGGAGCTATGCCAAACACTTTGTATATATAAAATCCACCCTCAAAAAAATCTGCAAAACTGCGAAAAATACTTTTCTTACTTAGGTTTTTGTTTCGTATCAAGTGCAAATATTTAAAATATTCTTAAATCAAGAAGCATTTTCTGTACAATCCAAAACATTATCTCACTTAAAGAAATAATGTGCCAAAATTAAATGATTTTCCTCAGAACATCAAAAACAAGCACCAATGGCGTAAGCAATGTAATAATTTTTAGATATTTGAACTAGAAACAAGACAAAACATCCAAGTAAAGCAGTTTTTTGCAGTGAAAAAAATGCTTTACTATCACAATATCTTGTTAAGGTTGATTAAGGCCATGATGACATGACTGATGCTGCATTATTTAGCATAAGTAGCCTATACATTATATTGTTTAGGAATTTAAATGTGAGTAGGATATATTTATTTTCGTCGAATCTGAGAAACTTTATTCCTCATCTAAGTTAGGTGAATAACAAGTAGCGCTTTCAGAAGTGCGTAATTTAAAGGCAATAACACGCGTTGTTTATAACCCGATCAAGAGTCTTAAAATCCCCGTCTATTCCCATATAGAGGTCATTACTCGAGGCATCAGCGTTGACAGCTAATAAAGATACAATGCGGATATTTCTCACAACGTGCTAAAACGTTTGGTGTCTGGGAACTGCGCGCACCTAAGAAAACACGGCTGATCGCTGTAGTTTGTATTGCTCACAGCTGAAGAAGACATAATCCTGCTTAGCTGTCCTTCAGATCAAAGACAATTGACTGTTAACAACACAGACAACGAGAAAACCTGCCAGCGGCCGATGACTGAGTCCAGCTCAGATTGCGCAAGCATATGGTGAAGACGCGCGGCTCCGAGGAGTGAGCGCGCAAACCTGCTCTGAGATCGGGGAACTTCGCTATGTCTCTGGGGAACTAAATGTTGGGCTTTCCTGAGGGCTCTTTTTAAGGGTCAGAGACAGTGTTAATTGTAGGGCAGAGGGGGAGCGGGTTCCCTTCAGAGTGCAGCGGCTTCGTTATGTTTTCTCTAGTGGTGTTTGAAAATAAAGGTACAAAAGCTGAGCCAAAATTGCACATTCAATTAACATATTAGTTCATGCCCAGGACCGTAGCCAGCCTGGTAAAAGTATTGGGAGATTTTTTTTTAAAGTGGACCTTTAGCAGGTATTTGCCTCATTTTCTAGCTAATTATGAGGTTTAAACACTGCATTTTAATGACACTTTAAGCTAATTTTTTTGTTGCTGGATTAGCTTGTTGGATGGTCATCATAAGCACACTTTTTGATGTACTGAAACATTTGCTTAAGATTTAAAATAAAGAAATATGAGAACAATATTTATTTTATTAAATACCAATTTATCACATATATATCAGTAGGAAAAAGGAATCTGTTTCAATTTTAAACTATCCTGTTGTCATTTATTAGGCAAATGAAAAAATGGCCAGCACATTCACCTTGCTTCAGTCAAGCTGAAGTGACAGAATACATAGGATTCTGCTTGGTCCTTGATCCTTTATTTTCACAATCTATTATGAGATAGCAGTTAAAATAAGCTCAGTGAGGAATAGGTCTTTCGAACCTGCGCACCGACGCATGTAGTACAAAAAAATATCACACACACACACACACACACACACAAACACACACACACACACACACACACACACAC